AAACTTTTGGCAGACAACAGGGTCAATCTGACAAATGGAATATGCTAATTACATAGTATTTAATAGCTAGCTACATTACATCGGAGATAGGCTCTCACGAGATATCAGACTTGACTAAAGTGCAAATATAATTACTGTCAACACACATCTCCCCTCCCAGAAATAGTCCTTTGTCTTCTGATGGGCAGGGCTTAGCTCATGATATCAGTTAACCTTTGGGTACTAACTGCCTTAGACAGTATGAAAAAAAGAGATTGAACAAGGGAGAAAGAAAGACTCAAGGTAGGAAGAAATAAGTTCCCTTGGACAGAAACAAGCTATAATGATGGAGCTTCCAGAGTATTCTACATTTGTGGATTTTGGGAAGAAGGTAGCAGCAGGGTTGGGGATGAGCACAAGGTGGAAAGCTCTGGGAAGAATGTCTCCAGAGAAGATGAGGCCAGAGACAGTCTTGGAAGCAATGGCTTGATGACCTTTCAGTAGCTTGTTATTTCAATACACTATTTGCTCTCACATTAACATTTCTGTCCTAATCTGCTGTAGTGCTCCAGTAGAGCCCAATGCAAAATGGACGAACAGCACCTCATTTTCTGCTCAGGCCTTCAACAACTTCAAACCATGAACTCAGTCCTCCATTTTGATATACTTTGTTCATTCTCCTTGGTGTCTTTTTCTTGGTTCCATATTTTGTTTCCAGTTAAAACTTTTATCGTTAGGGTCTATTCTAGATCCATGCCTTTTCACTTCTCTACATCTGTTACCACTTCCTGTGCCTTTTTTTCCTCATGTCACTGACCTCTAATCCCCTTCACCCTCTGTCCACTTGCTCTGCCTGACTATTTCAATTACATAAAACCATCACATTTCCACGTCCCTTCAGTTCTGAAGAACAATCTTATTGGACTAGAATCAGTCACTATGTTTTTCTCTCTCCACAAAAGGTGTTTGACATGAAAAGGTACTGATTCATCAGCTGAGGGACGCAGTAGATGGAAATCAATAGGAGGTTTCCTTGCCCATGTTTAATCCCATGCCACAAGACTTCATTGGTACCTCTGGTGGGTCTGCTCTGCAAATGGGACAGAAAGTACCCAAGGTTGAATCATAGAATCCATACAGTGTGGAAACAGGCCCTTCAGCCCAACAAGTCCACGCCCACCCAGATCCATCCCCCTATAACCCACCTAATCTACACAATCCCTGAACACTACGGGCAATTTAGCATGGCCAATCCACCTACAAAGAAAAGATCTGGGACATTTGGTGTAAGGTATAATTTAGACCGTTCTGTCCAGGTGCTCCTTTGATAGTCTTTGGGACAACTATAATGATTTTGGTACAACTCCCCAGATGTCAGTAAGGAAGAATTTACAGGATAAATCATGCAATTTACACATTCCTCATTTCTGCTCCCTAACTCAATGCCATGTAGTCTTTCAGTTCTGTTCTTATTTGACATTTCTGGACAACCTGCTGGACAGGGTGGTGCACAGGGAGGATGTCGTCCTCCCGATGAGACTGTGATACCAGACCATGCCAGCCTCGTCTAAAGTTGCCATCAGGGTCGGTGCAGTCTCGGCTGCCTGGAGAAATGGGGCAGCATGGTGGCTCAGTGGTTAGCACTGCTGCCTCACAGTGCTAGGAACCCGGGTTCAATTCCACCCTTGGGTGACTGTCTGTGTGCAGTTTGCACGTTCTCCCCATGTCTGCGTGGGTTTCCTCTGGGTGCTCTGATTTCCTCCCACAGTCCAAAGATGTGCAGTCTAGGTGGATTGGCCATGCTAAATTGCCCGTCGTGTTCAGGGATGTGTAGATTAAGTGGGTTATAAGGGGATGGGTCTGGGTGGGATATTCTGAGGGTCAGTGTAGACTTATTGTGCTGAATGGCCTGTTTCCACACTGCAGGGCTTCTATGATCTATTCTATGAAATGCATAGCAATGTAAGAAGGTCATTGACCTTTTCCACTCTTCCATTAGAGCCACCATCTTATCTGTGAAAGTTCACATTCAATCTCTCTCTCTCTGCTACTCACCTCCCACCAAGATTCATACTCTACCACTCTCACTACTTCCGGCAATATCTTCCTTTTCTCATTCTCACCAATCCCAATACCTAACACTAATACATGCTCTCTGTGCTGCCACTCAATCAGGGCATCTCCCCTCACTTGCAGCAAAAGTAAAGGCTGGGCCAACCACTTTTATCTCCTGTAACACCTATCACTCTTGCATTTCAGGAGGGAAACAGCCCACAATAGAGCAGAAAGGGATAAGGTGGGTGGTGGGCTGCCAGACATTCAATTCCTCACCCTTTAAGTGGATCCTGACTCTGACCACCTGAGTGGCTAAGTGACAATGTACAAGCCCTGGGATTAGTATTGGAGGCTGCTTTTGACCTAATGTGCTAGGGACAACCTCACATTTTTCCACATTATATTCCATCCGCTATGTTCTAGCTTATTCACTAAATCTGTTCAAATCCTCCTGAAGCCACTTTACATTTTCCTCACAACACATATTCCCACTTAACTTTTGATCATCTGCAAGTTTGGAAATATTACATTTGTTCCCACCTCCAAATGATTAATATATATTGTGAACAGCTATGGCCCAAGTGCTCATCCTTGTGGTACCACACTAGTCACAGCCTGCCAATGTGAGAATGGCCCATTTCTTCCTACTCCTTTTTTTCTGTCTACTAGCTAATCATTAATGCATGAATACATCACCTGCTATCCCTAATGCTTTAATCTTTCTAACCAGCCTCCTGCAGGAGACTTCATCAAAAGCCTTCTAAAAATCTCAGTATGCAACATCCCTGATCCTTGCTATTCCCTTTTCAGCAGTTAAAAATACCATTTGCAGTTTTTGTATTAACCATCAGAACAAAGAATTGGATGAGATCTTTTCTGGAGACAACTAAAAACAGAATTTCCGTACTAATACACTGACTTGAACCACTAATTACAGTGATCAAATATGGTAAGATTGCAAACACAGAAAACCACACAGAAATCTCAAAGAAACCTCAAACAGGTCTCCCTATTTAATAGTGGTTACCCAGCTGCATCTCTTCTATTTAAGTTATGGACAAAAGTTGCTGTACTTCACTAACTTTTGTAAGGGTTATACTATTACTGAAGTTTACAGAGCCTTTCACCTCTGGAATCTGCATTCAAGTCCAACTCTGACTGATGAGGTGAAAGTCTCTTCTGTCTTCTGACAGTAAGGGTTCTTTGTGAAATGGGCTGGTTGGCTTCAATCCATCCTGTTCCTAGTGGGTGCAGATGTACAGCACAAAACTGCCTCTAAGTTGTCGCTAATTGGCAATCTCACTCAGAGGCTACATGGTGGCTGATGTGTTAAACAGCAAAATTGTTGCTTTGGTGCAACAAGGGGCAGGTCTTCTGAAATCACGGAAGAGTACAGGGAATTCTAACTGGTTCATTGGTCATGAGGATTCTTTACGTTAGCAATGAGTGCTCAAAATGGAAAATAAGTTTTACTCCTCAGCTTGAAATTCCCTCACCTTAGTTAGCATCAGTTTAAAAAAAAAAGCTGTGTTGTGATTTGGAGGTGATATATATCAAATTTAAAATGTTTACCAAAAAAAAAACCACTTGAAAATACAATGCAAGGTTTAGTGGAGGAAGAAACATGTAATAAAGAGTGAGCTTCCATTTTATTTATTTCTTGTCTTTCACTATAAAAAGGCATATGTCAAGAAGATGGGCAATAACAGAAATGAGTTTCTCACTCCCATTATGTGAACACTTGATAGAACTGTGGTCCTCTTCTACTAAGATACTTTCTGTTGGAGGAAGTGATCATGGCAGATTTTCCAGGAGCCATTCAAAACAAACACTTCTACCATCTCTAGACAGATAGTTTAAAAATATCCTCATGCTCTGATTGAAGATAGGAATCTCTCTATATCTTGCCTTGAAACAAAATGCCTTAATCACAATGAGGAATACTGTGGAAGCCTACTGATATTTTCAAAAGCTACCATCATCTCCAAATGGACAGTGTGTGCTTCAAGAGTAAGTAAATTACTTTGAACTTCATAAAATATGGGAGAGGAAAGGGCTGGAATAGAACAAAATAGGTTACAATAGTCAGAAACGGGTAATTAAAAATTAATTATCTTCAGGATAGAGGAAAGTAGAGAACACGGCAAAATGAGAAAAGGACCCCATGGTGAGCATAAGACATGTATTTAATCCTTTTTCTTCTTCTAGTTAAAGTTATGCTTTAGCAGTTAATTATTCACACCATTAAGTACAGCCAGTAGTTCAGTTATTTTTATTGCAATGTTAAGCATCAGCGTATATGAGCTAATAACTGGTCAGGCCAGGAGATGCTAACAATGCTGGAACTGCCAATGGGTTAGGCTCACTGAAAATGAGGCTAATAAACGAAAACAGTTTAAATTTCATACATTAATAGAAACAATAAAATAAAACAGAAATGATGCAACTCCTGCTAAAATACAGTGTCATTATCTAATTTAATTTGTCTAGTACAATCCAAATGCACTTAATATTAAACACTATTTTGGGAAATGCAAAATTCACATTAAAATCTATTTGGACTTAATTAAAGGGAACATCAGGTTTTTAAAGCTAATTCTGTGAACTAAATTATTAAATTGTTTTGAAAAGCTCCCATGACATTAATATACATAGTTAACACTTAGCATAGGGTTCCATTCCTTCTACAATTTTCTATTAAAAAAGGAAGTAGATCTCGGAATGCAGCAAAATATATCACTGTTTTCAAATTGAGCATCTTAGTGGAAGCTTACAAGACTCCAGTGGGTCTATGGCACAACAATAGTTGAGGGAGGTAAACCAAGAGCTGGTAAGCTGTGGTTAAACTAATACCCTGAATGTTCCCTGGCGGAAAAAAAATGGATGGAACTGTGAAAGAAGTGTGGGATTCTACAGGTTTGAGATACTGGAGGAGGAGACAGCATAAAATACTGAACAACATATACCTTTGAAGCAAATACTTCTGCACTTTCACGGCAACTTTTCCCAATGTCAAGGTGGTTTTGTACGGTACCGACTTCCTCAATCACCAGCTGTGAAACTGCAATAAGAAGTATACAGCTTTGATTGTTTAATTTACAGAAAACACCAAGTTAAATAGATAACTTCCTTAAACAAATTCTTTACCTTACCCTATACAATGTTTTTTTTTAGAAGTTTTCACAGCAAAACAGTTGCTGGAAAGCATCAATAACCTTGACATTTTCAGAGGTAATCATAAACTGCAGCAAACAGGCCAACTGAATCCACTTAACTAATTAGCAGATGCTGTCACAGAGAAAACATGAATCAACACTGTTATTACAAGTGGCACATTTGAGTGGCATCTAATTATGACTTGATGAGCTTGATACTTGCATTATAATCACTACCACAGCATCCCATCAGAGGCTAAAAGCCTCTGATGGTGCTGTCTTCCAGTAACTCCCCCTAAAACCTTCACAGTTTCTGGCAGTCTCCTTGGCAGGGTCCCCTTCTCAGTTAATGACATGTTAAGTATAATTACTGGTAGGCATTGTAAATAAACAGGATTGGAACCGAAATTGTACAAGTGCATAAGACAATCTGACACATTGAAAGTGGCAGGCCTAATTGAGAGTTTCTCTGACTGCTGGAGATCATTTAACAGCATTTCTCTTAGGACAGTGATTATAACTGTGGAGACGGGCAGCATAATGGTATCAGACAAATGTGAGCATTGCTGACAGTGTAGTGAATTAAATTGTATCTACTCTGTGAAACGCCTTGATGAAAAGTACAAATGCCTTGGTGGTCTTATCATTATAACACAATGGTCATGTTGTCATCAACCTTGCCACTGTCAATTGAAAAGAAATGATTGTGTTGAGGTTTTCTATTGCCGACTGTGAATAGAACCAATTTTCAGAGATCTATGAAATCATGTAATTGGGTATAGAATGCAGCTGCTTCACATACAAACTGGCCTTAGTAAACAGGAGTTGCACACAATATGTGTTCATGCCCAGATACAAATCAAACTGAACAGAACTCAAGATAATTTAGAACTATAAAATAGCTGGAACCGAGATCGGAGAGTTGGAAGTTGACCAATGTCGATCTTTTTTCATTTCAAGCTTAATTATAGACCAAGGTCATTTCTTAATACTGTACTTCTGATTTCTGCTTACATCAACTTTAAGTCATTGACCTCTGTAACCCCAAGCAGAAGGCTTAACAAAATACTTTCAAGACCACATTCAGCTCTACTTAAGTTTGCATTGTTATGGTTTTTCTTTGAGAATTGTTATATATATGTGTGTGTGCATTCTTAAATACTTAAACGGGCTTATTTGAGAAATTGCAGCTCAGTAATATCCTTGCTCTGAGTTTCTAGTAAGGTCTATGTCTTAATTACTTGCTACTGATTGAATATAACCAATGCAAACTATCGATCTTCATTCTGGAAACAATCCAGTGACAGCAAAATGTTTCCAGAATCTAAACTTTCCAGTTAAGGAAAAGCCAAAACCATGAAACCTGCATAAAATACATGGCTAGCTAAAACAAAGGTGCTGCCAGTTCAAATACATTTTCTTTAAACCAAATACAGTTAATATACTGAATTTAAAAGAATAATTCCACTGTGTAACTAAATGTTAAAGCTTAACCTTATATCAAAGGATATATCAAAGGATGTGTCACCTAGGAGAGAAAGCAGTGTGCAGACTGGTTAATGATGGATAACAATCTATCAAATAAAGATTTTTGAAGGGATAGAAGTAAGTTACATTTTCTTAAAGTATTGCTTTAAAACTTAGATTTTGACTCAAGTGCTTCTGCTTAAATGCAAACTTGAATGTCGTATTGACACTAAAGTTCATGAATACTTCACACCCTATTTTTAGTTATTTTATGGAAGCATGTTTTTTCATGAAGCATTCTATTCCAAGGTCTCCTCCTTGGCGCTCTGTGTAACCCCCCATTTCAGTAAAAATGGTGGAGACTTACACCATTGAATTGGCCCATTCAATCCATCGGGCATACGCTGGCTCTTTTAAAGAGCTATCCAATTAATCCACTCCCCTATTCTTTTTCCTATAGCACTACAAATATTCCCTTTCCAAATTAATTTACCCAATTCTCTTCTGGATATTACTACTGAATTTGCTTTCAGGTCAAACATTCCAGATAATGATAACCTGCTGCTTAAAAAAAAAGTCTTCATGTCTCCTTTGGTATTTTTTTCCAATTATCTTAGCTGTTAACAATGAAATGACAAGGTCAGGGTGCAATAGACAAACAAGAATCCTCTTAGGCCATGTCTATATACAGATACACTCTCTCAAAGCAGTTAATAAAGCACACAGCATCTTAGTCTTCATTAATAGGTGCATGAATGATAAAAGCAAGGAAGATATGTTAAACTTGTATGGAGCACTGATTCAGCCTCGTCTGAAGAATTGCTTCCAGTTCTGTGAGGCACACTTTGGCAATGATATGGAGGCAGTAGGGAGGGTGCAGGAAAGATTCACAAGATAAGTCCCAGGGTGAGGAACGTCAGTTATGCAGATAGATTGGAGATGTTGCAGCTCTTTTTCTTGCAGAAAGCTGAGAAGAAATTCAATGGAGGTATTCAAATTCATGACTAGAATAGACAGGGATATTCCCATTATTGGAAGGAAGGATCAAGAATCAGAGGGTAAGCTGATGAAAGGTGATTGAAAAAGAAAGCAATGGAAACATGATGACAAATGTTTTCACTCAGCGAGTTGTTGAATCTGGAATACAATGCCCGACAGTGTGATAGAGACAGCGCCAATTTGGGCATTCAAGAGGAAATTTCTTTATTAGCTGAAAAAGGATGGGTGGTGCTACAAGGAGAAGGCAGGAAAGTGGAATCAGATAAATGGCTCCTTTGGAGGATCAGCACAGACAGGATGGGCTTCTATTCTATAACATCTTTTAACCCGAAAGTGAAGAGGCAAACTTTCTGCTCTTGCCCAAACCTTTTAGACAAGCATGTGGGTAAATTTAATTGGGTGAGGGGGCAAGCATTCAGTTTTCCAACAGCAGCTTAAAGTTTGTTTAATTATGTCATCAGCAACTTTCTGGCAACTAAGTGCTGCCAAGCCTCTGTTACATTCTTGAACAAGCTGCAAGTACCCATGAATACCTAACACACTGGAACTAGATTCCCTGATGCAACCTTGTCAACCAAAACCAGAAAAGACATCAGTTCACAAACCCAGACAAACTACAGACATGAGGGTGTGAACCTGGTTTCTTCTTCCTCCGAGCTCTGATGAGTACAAACTTCTCCAGTAACTTGGCTTTCTCATAACCAAGTTCTCTCTTTATACAAATGCTGGCAGTGTCGGGGGTTGAAGGTTGACTGTGCCCATTAGCTTTCCAAAGTGAGGCAGCCAAGACGGCTGATATGAGGGCAGGGGTCTCTCCTTCAAAAGTATAATTTCCTAACAGGACTGGACAGACAGGATGCAGGGATGGTATTTCCCCTGATTGGGGAAAAGACTAGGGGACAGTCTCAGAGAATGGGGTAGGCAATTTAGGATCAAGCTGCAGTGAACCTGTGGAATTCTCTACCACAGAAGGATGAAGCGGACAAGTCACTGAATATGTTCAAGAAAGAGACAGATAAATTTCTAGATTTTCAAGGCATCTACGGATATGAGGGAAGTGGGAATGTGGCTGTAAGGTAGAGGATCAGACATGAACCTATTGAATTATGGAGCAGGTTTGAAGGGCTGAATGGCCTACCCATGCTCTTAGTTCCCATGTTTACAGGAAGATGATATTGGTGGATAAGAACAGTGAAGAATGGCAGTTAAAGGATATGGTTATCATGGACACTGGAGGATGGAGGGAGAAAACTGGGATGCAGAGGGAGATTCACTTTGAGAGACAAGGCTGCATATTTAGTGTGGGGAATGCAATGGGATCATTCAGTATGCTGGGAAGGGAGGAAGAGCAGGCAAATCAATTAAAGGGTGGTACAAGGATGCGGCTGGACATGGGAATCTAGATGGGATTGGAATAAGGGGGATGACCAGGAATAGAGAGGACATCAGAGGTCAGGAGAAGGTCATCTACAATGATGGACAGAAAGTATAGTCTGGAGGGGAAGGGTAGCTGGAGAAATTATAAAAAGGAAACCTTTAGAACCTAGTAGATAGCAAGAACTGCAGATGCTGGAGTCAGAGTCAATACAGTGTGGAGCTGGAGGAGCACAGCAGGTTAGGCAGCATCAGAGGAGCAGGAAAGTCATGTTTCGGATCGGGACCCTTCATCAGGATTGGGCTTTAGAACCACCATCTTTCTCAAAATCGTTTTCAAAAGAATGGCTCTTAGAAAATGCACAATGCAAATAGGCACCCCAGAGCTGTTTGCACATTACTGCAGTGTGCAAACACACCAGACCGAGGCAATCAAAACAGAAACTGAAAAGTCCCACTGCGCACAGCTCTCAATTAAGGATTGTGCCCTCAAGAGAAGCATTCATTGCATAATAAAGATAAATTAAGCTCTTTCAGCTCCAAACAACATCACAACCATGTCTAAAGTCCATTAATCTTTGATAAGAAGGGAACTCAAGAATCGACCACAGTGGTAATGGTGCTGGGTGTATATTCTACATGCAGCTGGGCTGGAGCACTTGCAGGCCCTTGCATCTGAAAGATGAAGACCTGGGACTGAAACTGTTACACAGTCAGTACCTGGAAGATAGAAAACAAACATCTCAATCCTGATACTGCATCACAGATCTATACATCCATGAGAGATGTTTCACCAAGTTAACCCAGTAGGTGTTCTGAGGAAGGGTCACCGGACCCAAAACATTAACTCTGTTTTTTCCTTCACAGATGCTGCCAGACCTGCTGAGCTTTTCCAGCAACTTTGTTTTTGTTCCTTACTTACAGCATCCGCAGTTCTTTCGGTTTTTAACCCAGGATAAACGTTGAAATGAATAAGGAGGAGGAGAAGAGGACATGATGAACAACACCAACAGAACCAGACATTCAAGCCTCAGGAGGCTGATTTGTGGATAAAGAAGCAGCACCT